GTTTATTCTGACTTTATATATTGATGGGTCTTCACATATAGGATAGAATAAGTAAACGTAACGTGCAGATTGATTACATAGTAACCGGAGTGCCACGTGGAAATGGTAGAATGTGTAATGATTAACTCTCTTTAAATTGTTATGAGCAACACTCTTAGCAGAAAAAGAAAACCAGTAAATGGCAGTAGAAGAGGCCGTCGTAGTATAACAACAATGCATAAAAAAAAATTGATGACCGTCAAACCAAGGTTAACGATTCAATGAAACTAGGCGTCGAGCCACATTATTTATTATTTAAACCAGGCGATATCGTGGCAATTGAAGATTCACAGATCGCAGATGCAGGTGGAGGAAAATTGAGGCCAAAATACAAAGGGCCTTACACAGTTGGAGAGGTATTACCACACGAAATATATCAACTTCACAAAGAGCGACAGCGAATAACTGTAGCCGCTCAAGATCAGTTGCTATGGTCATCGAAGTAATTATAAAAAAAAGGTGAGTGGAAATCCCACAATATTAAATTAAAATAATTGTTTTTGTTGGTTTATGGTGGAAATCCCGCCAAATTTAACTAAATAAATTATGATAATAAATTAACACTAGGGTTTAGTGTTGTAGCACTAGTGTTTAGTGTTAGGGTGGCAATCCCACCAGATGTTCCTGAATAAATCATGATAAATTAACACTAGGGTTTAGTGTTGTTGCACTAGTGTTCAGTGTTAGGGTGGCAATCCCACCAGATGATCCTGAATAAATCATGATAAATTAACACTAGGGTTTAGTGTTGTTGCACTAGTGTTTAGTGTTAGGGTGGCAATCCCACCAGATGATCCTGAATAAATCATGATAAATTAACACTAGGGTTTAGTGTTGTTGCACTAGTGTTTAGTGTTAGGGTGGCAATCCCACCAGATGTTCCAGAATAAATCATGATAATAAATTAACACTGGGGTTTAGTGTTGTTGCACTAGTGTTTAGTGTTAGGGTGGCAATCCCACCAGATGTTCCTGAATAAATCATGATAAATTAACACTAGGGTTTAGTGTTGTTGCACTAGTGTTTAGTGTTAGGATGGCAATCTCACCAACAATAAATAAAAATAAAGGTAGTTAGTGGCAATACCACCAAGGTTAATTGAAAAGGTAGTTGGTGGCAATCCCACCAACATTAATTGAAAGAGTAATTAGTGGCAATCCCACTAATGTGTACTGTAATGGTGACAATCCCACCAACATTTATTGAAAGAGTATTAAGTGGCAATTCCACTAATGTTTATGGTAATGGTGGCCATTCCACCAACGTTGATTGAAAGAATGACTAGTGGCGATCCTACTATATTTACTGTAATCGTGGAAATTTCACCAACATAATTTGAAAGAGTAATTAATCATTTAACGTCTAAAAAGAACATTAGTGATAATGTTCATAAGTCGTAACAGTAGTTCTGTTTTCGTATTTTGTAATTCCAGAAATATGTGGCGCGAGGACGCACCAATTGCAGGATGGCCGTGTTAGCGTTATTTCTTTATACTCCCCACCATACATTCTTGAAGTCCATACACATGCGTGTCAGGACGGACGAGCGGGAGAAGACAGACCAGCGCAGTGGATAGTACGCTAATAGACAGTGGCAATATCACAGCAACATTGTAATTGAGAATACTTGATCGTGAAATAAACCATTGAAAAAGCAGTTTAGACATTTTTATTAGGGATGATATATCCCTTATGTTTATAAATATATAAGTTCATTAGGGTGTGTCATTTTTGAGCAACTTTTTTTTTCAATTAAAAAACAGTCTAAAAACTTTCAGGAAGGTGAAAAAAGAAACCCCTAAAAATTTGAGCTCTTAATATTTACATTTAGTGATGCCTGTTCCTTACTTTCCATTTTCCATTTAAATAACATGGAAAACAATTTTTCTTTTATCTTATTTTTGTAGCTTAACATTTGAGCATTTAAAAAATGATCTGAACAATTATTTTGATAGGAAATTGAACGCTCTACAAAAAAGTTTTAATTTATTTTTTCATATAGTGAGCCATTCTGAAGTTATAACTTAAAGTTGCAAATGTATTAAATTATGACTTTTATTTTATTAAACTAATACTTCTGTGCGTCGTTTTTCAATAATTATAGTTATCTCCACGCTCTGCATCGATTCAACCATTTGCCTCTTAATTTAAACAGGAACATGTTCATCAAATAGTGCAAACACAGCTAAATCTTCATTCAGATACTACAAATGATCGGATAGTTTTTTGATAGCAGCTATTGAGACAAATAAATTTAATCTTAGTATAGAACTAATTTTTGGCATTAGTTCTAAATCTTGTTTTGGAGCGAGAGTTGCAGAAGTCGAGGTAAACCAAGCTTTGATGTAGAACAAAACAACAGAAATGCAAATTTCTCTGAAATTTTGTGTTTTATGAGCTGTTAATTTAAATTCATTTCTAAACAAGAGTATTTTCAAACTATAAATAGCTTTTGCCATCCACCTCGCATGGTGCATAGCACCAGGGGGTTAATTTTTGAATCATTCGCCACCCTGACGTATGCGAAAACGTATACTTTTACCTAAACTGTATTTTTGACTTACTCGATTCGTTTTCGCATGCGAAATTGACGTCACTTGCGAATAGGCATTTAATAGATTTTGCAATGACATTCATCTCGGTAAAGCAGTTTCATACTAGGTTTCTATTGGTAGATCATCGAATTTTGCTGAAATAATCTACAACTCTTCGATAGGTTGATCTGTTCGCAAAATATTTATCGAAGAGCATTCAAAAATATACCTTCCTTGTCGCATGCGATTAATGTCATGCGTCAGTTGACACATACTACTTTTAGCGAATGGTTTCAAAAATTAACCCCCATGGACGTTTGAAATGAGTTATCTGATTTGGAGTTTCATCGAGAATAATTAAAGATAATTCCAAATAACTTTTTTCTTGAAAATAATTTTTAAGACATAAAAAAGTCATTACTATTAGTTTAATAAAATAAGTCATAATTTCATACATTTGCAATATCTTCAGAATGTCTCACTCTATGAAAAATAAATTAGAACTTTTTTGTAGAGCGTTCAATTTCCTACCAAAATAATTTTTCAGTTCATTTTTACAATGCTAAGCTAAAATGTCAAGCTACAAAAAATAAGAAAAAAGAAAATTTATTTTCCATGTTATGGAAAGTTAGGAACAGGCACCACTTAATGTTAATATTAAGAGCTCAAATTTTTAGAGGCTTCTTTTATCACTTTCTTGAAAGTTTTTAGCCTGTTTTTCAGTTGAAAAAGAAAGTTGCTCAAAAATGACACACCCTAAAGTTCATGTATAATTAGTGATTTATTATTGTTACTTATTCCTTAAAAGTATAAAATATAAGGTGTTATTAGTTCAAAAGGTGTATAATTTTGTTACCCTGGCAATATTCCTACGCTAGGCAGCTAACAAAGTCTCAGTTATATACCAAACGGTTTTATTTTTATTGTCGATTAAAACAAGAAACTTTATTTAGAAAAATCCATGGGTGCGCACCTGTGCAGTTTTGATGATCAAAATAATGGAAATGAAGTTCGAATAATTACAACATCCATCTTATTCGCCGGATTTGACTCTAGTGACTTTTTTAATTCTAAACTTTAAAAAAAGGCTCGGCGGACGATTCGCGTAGAACGAGGAGGTCATCGCACAAACAGAGTGTAGCGCCTCAGTTGCACTACATACGTTAAAATGTCACACACTTAACACTTTTTAGCTAACCCTTCATTTGTGGCAGTCCTAGTATTACAAAGGATAAACTCATCTCCAAAGCAACTTCGGTTGCTAAGAATTATTATTGATCATCATGATATTATGACTTTTATATTTTATATACAAGACATGTCTTTTTGTTTCTTCGAATTAAAATATACCTTATAAATCTTAGCAAAACCATTTATTTATGATGGGATGAATAATTTTAAAGATCTCACACAGAGGACCTTCCGAAACCTTACTTTTTAGATGGCTTAAAAAGTTGGAGAAGCGCTTGGAAAAGTGTAGAGAGGTAAAAGTAGATTACGTTAAAAAATTCAAAAAATTACCTAAAATAATTTGTTTTTCTATCTGTTTCTAAGGACTTGTTGAACGACCCTTGTATTACATTTTATCTTCATAAAGTTTGTGGCAATAGATAACAGGGGTGTAAAGGAGCGGGAACGCATTAGAAAGGCGTTCCCACACTGGTTTTCCACAATTTACGACTGCACCACTGATAGATACCAAGCTTTCATCCGAATCTTGTTTCATTCAATTAACCTTTATTCTCTTTTTAAGTTTTATTAGATAATTTCAAAATTTCTAGTCTATTGTTTGTCAACGAGTCATACCAATTCAGTTATTTTGTTCTTTATATTATTAAATTTCTTTTCCATTCTTTCTTAAATTTTTTTTTGTAAAAACTTTTGGCAAGTTTTACTTCCAATCTGTTCCATTTCTGCTGGATCGTTTGTGCACACTTTGACTCCTGGTATTTTTGTGGCATATGTGGCCACCTTACCATAAATTGAGTTTTTTAACACTTTTAACGGCAATTAGTTGTTAATAAAATATTTCTAATATAATTCAAAATTAATTCACTTTTTCACTAAATATCTCACAACAATCAATCTAGAAATGATATAATTTTCATTTTCTTTTTATAAAAATATACCGCTCTAGAAAGAACGCTTACTACTGTCTATTGACCATACCATAATAAGAGGAAAACTTTGATAGAAATAAAGTCAGCTTTTGTCAAGGTGAGAAAAGATGTGCCAAGGAAGAAAAATAATCCCAAAATGGTGCTTAAAAGCAGCTGCGGCGCGTGGTTTACTACTTTGGGGTGTGCACACTTGCAATTTGGGAGTACACATGTGCACTTATTGAGGAACCGCCACTGCTTAAGAGGCAGAAGTATATCAGAAAAAGAAGTGTACAAAGTTCTAATCACCCTTGAAGAAGGTACTTACGCCACAATAGAAAGTGTATCATCCTCTTTTTGGGGCAAACGTACAATCGCCCTATTGTCCCTTATAAATTTTTCTCTGTTGTATGTTTCTGATGAGTCGGTTACAGAACTAGATGGGCTCACATTTGAACTGGCCGAGCTACTTCCTGGTCTTTTAGGTCTTGATGGCGGTCTTTTTATAGGCGGAAGGGGTACCTTGAAACCATTTTCGATGGAGCTAAAAAAACAACAACAAATCACTTATTTGTCAATACAAGGCGAGTTTACTGTTATATCATTTTACCGAATAACAGTGCATTATGTCTTTATAAATGTATGAAAAACACTATTTTGCTATATGACAGATGGACGCACTTAGCGATGCCAAGAATAACAGAAAATCGTAATCCAAATGACGACTTAAGAGTCGTACTTTGATTTTAATTATTTGAAGTCTATAATTTTATATTTGAAGAGTGACGGAATGAAAATGGTTTTATACCATTTAAATAAAACTATTTTAAAAAATGGCATTTATTCTCACCAAAATTGACTAGCTCCAACTAGCTCGAGTTTGACACAAAGTAAAAGTGTAATGCAAAGGTGTGGACACTTTTAGTATCGTCATAGCATCTTTATTATATCTCAATGGTATGAACAAATAGTTTCATTTTTCATTCCTTATTGTATCAAATAAAAACTGATGTCAGGAAAAAAACAATGGGTTTATAAAAAGACTATTTACACGATGAATGACATTTTACAGGCGTTTCAATTCTTTTTAAAATATGGCACCAAACAGTGCATAGTACTAAAAAATCCACCAGAGGTCAATAGAAGCAAATGAAAACAATTAATGACTGCGAACTGTCAGAAAAATTCAGTTAATTTATGTTAATTTTTTTGGGTATACTGACAATATAATTTTTAATGGAATTCGTAATGAAAAACTATATATGTTAGTTTTAATAAAAGTATATGGATTTGTAAAACAAGTGAAACATTAATTTATTATTATATATTTTTATCGCTTAAACTAAAAAAAAAAAAAGTAAGTATAATCAATAAAAATCAATAATAAAATATAGGCAGGCAACAGTATTTACGAAAAAATGTATGAGAAGTTATCTAATTAGTTGTGTTTGAAGAATTAACCTATTCTGTCAAAATAAAAAAATACCATTAAATAATAGCGTGAAGTTAAAATATATAAACAAAAAGATTGTTATTAATATTTTCTTCATGTTTGTTCGAAAAAAAAACATAGAATGAATGATTAAAACTGATTTCCTATCAGTAAGTCACAAAATTGCATTCCAGCCACATAAAATTGGCCAGCACTTTATATTTACTTAGGAAGCATAAAATATTTATCTTACAAAAATCAGCTGTTAGGGCGATTGCTAAAATACCACCTAGATGAGAAATTGACAGAATATACTGAATACATCACAGATTTTTTATATAACAAAGTAATTAAAATTGAAAGTGGCATTTTATATCTGACAACTTTCAACCAAATATATCGTTCATTGCTAATAGAATTTGTCAGTTTACACCATGGTATGGAGCAGAGAATTTTTCAGAACATTTGTGAGAGATGTATTTATATAAAAAGTACTCTGGTATCTGGAAGAAATTCTGGGAATGCAAATATTAAACTTTCCCAATATGAAAAAGTTATGCTATTGCAGTAATTCAGGGTGAGGGCTTGCTATTGTTGGATAAAAGCATAAGGTTGTAGGCTTAGCAATCTTGAAAATCGTCTTTGAATTGATTCTATTCGAGCTATATGACACTGATGAGAGGGACTCCACATAACTGATGCATATTTTAATTTTGATCTTTTAAAAGCATAGAATAGTTTTAAAAGTAGGTGCAGAGTCAAATGTAAGGGCTAGATCACAAATGTTTCCGGTCGCTCAAGGGCAACGTTTTCTATTGAATAATAATTGATTAAGATATTCGTTTTTAAACTGTAGGGTATAACTTTACATTTTTCTGGGTTTAGTGACAAGTTATTTCGATAACGCCATTCAGCAACCCGTCTTGAGTTTGCTGAGAGACACGGGTCATTATAGATCATCAGAATGCAAAAGGAAATGTACATTTATAACATCTGCAGTATCATTAATGGCAGCGGCCTTAGGTTCGACTCTTGTGGAACACCGTAAGAGGCACTATATTTGGCAGCTGGATATATTGCTTTCGATCCCATAGATAGGATTGATACAGTGCAATTAAAGAGGGATATAATCCAAAATTTAAGTGTGTTAAGCAGAATGTCATGATCAAGTATGTCGAAGGCCTTAGAAAAATCTGTGTAAATAAAATCAATTTGGACTATGTTGTAAATAGATTCAGCAATGTATTGGGCAATGATCAGAAGGTTGGTGACTGTTGAACAACTTTTCATGAAACCGTAATGGTTTATACTTATATTGCAACTTATATGACAACATATAACTCGCTCCAGCCGGATTTCAAAATAATTTGCAAAGTTGCCGGGATTTTTTTATTTAATTTAATTATTTAAAATTAATTCCGATGCCTTGGTAGGATTCCCCACTCGACCATTCACTATTCTATTCTAATTAACAGTGCTATTCCTAAAGTGGCGCTGGAAAACAGTAACAAAGCCTACACAGAACACGAGGCGAAATAACCGTAGCAGTTGAAGCCGATGACAAAAAAAAATAGAGATAGGTCAATAATTTGAAATATCTCGTCTATCTATTTTCTTGAAAATGAGACAAACCTTTGAAGATTTCCATATCCCTAGTATTGTAGCCGATTTAAAACAAATATTTATTAGTATGGAGACAGGACGAGTAAATACAGAAGCACAATCTCTTAGGACGAAAGCTGGAATATCACCTGGTCCGGTGATCTTTTTTTGGCTTAAGTGATCTTAGTGCCTCATATACTTCCTTTTAACTAAAGCTAGTAATATTTAAAAAGTAATTATTATATGTCCCAGAATTGGGTTGAAAAGAGGATGAAGCAGTATAGGATTGTTTACAAAGATTTTCAAAACTGTTTAGAATATTAGCATTAGCACAAGACCTTTAAAGTCTAATATAAAGAACTTGTCATACCAGCCGAAATTCACGATCATGATACTAGATCAAGACACACTGACGGACAATAGATTTATCTGTAATTATTTGATAAACTTCCCGCTGAACTACACAAACTTAATTACAAAACATTGAAATACAAGATAAAAAACATACCACTCAATCAACCCATATAATCTTTACATGAATTTTACGATGCTGATTTGTCCATCAATAATTAAACTACCATTATTGTATTTGTGTATGTATTATTTATTATTTTAATCGTTCTCTATTATAATTTAAAGAATATTTCTCTTTTGTGGTACAATGGTAAAAAAAACTGGAAATGTTTACGATAAGCAAATAAAGCATATTTATTATTTATATTTATTATTTTCAATATTTTGTTCTGTTATTTTTTTAACTCATAAAGTAGTGTTCTTTTATAATGTCTCAAATTACTATCATTGGACTAGCAGCTATGGATTTGATGTATTAAGCAATTGGAGAAAATGCTCGTCAAGCACATTCTTTAAGGCGAACAATTAAAATAAAAAAATATCTTAAGTATATGTACTTACGGTGGCTGAATTTTCTCGCATTTCCTTTTGTCAGTAGGTCCAAGGGTAACTTTGAAGTTAGTCGGTGCAGCAGACTCGCTACCGCTGCCTTCAGAATTTTCAGAATTGGTTTCGCTAAGTTTTCTGCGCAAAGGAGGTGCGATATAACCTATGTCATTTAAATTAACTGTGACAGTTTGATAAGGGTGATACGGAGCATTCCATTTAGGTCTATTAAGTCGCCTAATTTTTACCTTTTCATTTGTGTTATTGGGCCGCTTAATACAAACCTTCGAGTTTGTGTCTGTTTTTTTATTAAATGCTGTTATAACAAAATTTTTTCCAATCTTCCTAACTTGGGAGTCTTGAAATACCGGAGTTTTCTGAAAATCAGGATTTGCTGTTTCTTGAATCTGACCTTGCTCTTCTTCTTCTTCTTCTTCTTCAGAAAGTGTGCTAGAATGTTCATTTTCATGTTCATTTTCATGTTCATTTTCATCATCATTTTCATCTGATTCAAGAAGTCTGTTTTCTACTTCGTCTGGAATGTCATAATCCGTGACATAACTATTTGCATCATCTGTTAACAAAAAATATGGAAGACTCAAGCAATTAAATATACATTTACATAAAATATAACAAATAATAAATTAAGATTCTGAGTTTAAAGTCTATTCATCTAAGATTTCTTTTAACTTTTTGACAGTCGTCATCAACCAATAAAATTTGACTTTACCGTTGTAATAAGTGTGTTGAGCGAGTAGGAGACTATATTGAAAAATAACGTTTTTTGTCGAAAAAACTTGGGTTTTCATTGTTAGACCACGTAATCTTCAAACAATCCTCATATACATGAGTTTAAATCTGACTTATTTGTAATGGTAAAATTAGAACCAAAAACTTCAATTATTGTGCAGCTCTCCAAGCCTTTTCTGTGATATCTGAAGGTACATTTTTCATATCAATTCCTAATGAATCTAGTAAGTTGATTTATGGGTATACAGAATAAATACACCAAAAGTAATGTAAACCATTAAGAAAATTCTGTACCAACAGTAATTAGCAAGATGCTGCTAATAGTTCTTACGAAATTTTAACAAACATACTGCACAAAGTAATAAATGACATTATTCCACTAAAAGTAATAAATAATAATCATGGATCAATCAAACAGACTTCAATTTTTTTTATAAAAAACGGAACCTATGGCATAGGTACGGGTCGTGGTGTGAATATAGTATGGTGTGCTCGCGCGCAGACAGCCTCCGAACTGTGACGTCAGCAACGAGTATTTCTGTCGAACATGCATGCAGTGGTACAAGAAAATCGCAGTTTATTCTTATTCTCGCTTTTGTTATCATTTTTTTTTTAATTTTTTTTTGCAAAAAACATTACTATTAGACGTGTTACTGGTTTGATTTGATAGAGTTTTTAATTAAGTCAACTGTTTTTTATAAATTTAAATACAAAACTAGACAACAAAAATAAATATTGTAAAATCGTTTAGGTACATACTAGGAAAATGTTATGGAGTGTAGAGGTAAGGAGAACTATCTCTGTACACAAAAAATGTACCTCAAAATTAATAAAATTAAGATGACGCTTCTGTACCAGAGGGAAAAATCCAATTATATAGTTAGACGACAATAGTCAAATTTTATTGTAATATAATAATATAAACAATTATTATATTAAAATGGTGATAACGTGCGGAATCAAAAGCTGTTTAAGCGCAAAAATTTAAAAAATAAAAAAGGCAAGTCGCAGTCGTTTTTCAAAGTTATGCTATGTACAGAGAGATGCAGAGAGACATGTATTACGTTTTTGTTTTATTTGTTACGTTTCAGTAAAATATGTATTACGTTGCTGGACAATAATGGCGTTTTTTCTTGACAAATACAGCGTTTAGCTGTACTAGATCAAATGCTGAATAGACTTTGTAAAACTTTATGTACAATACAACGAAATGCTGTACATATATGGCCACCCTAGTGTATATAAGTTAGAGAAAAGAAAATTATACTTAACATGATTTAATGTAAAAAATCCGCAATTTCGATTACACCTAGCAAGAAAAAATTGCAAGAAACTTGCTAGGGTTGTGGGTTTTTTCAAAATACAAGTACATAAACAAACATAATAAACAAAAAATAAAATACTATAAATAAAAACTAATAACAAAACTAACTTATTAAGTATTTGTAAATTTTGACATTTTTTTGACAGTTTTCGCCTACAGTTTTCAAAGCTAACTTTTTATTCAAATGTCTTAATCTGATATAGGTTCTAGTTCTTATTAAACACAATATAATTTTATTTGGAAATTGTTTTGTTGCTTCTACAGAACCGGCTCTAATTTTATCTAATAATTTTTTAAAAATATTTAATTCCGTCGAAAAGAAGTTATTATGAAATCGATTAAATTCGGTCTCAACTATACGGACTAGTTCTAACATTTTTTTCACTTGGGTATATAAGGTTGCCTCTAGATATAAACTCGATCCAATCGGGGGTATGGGTTGTTTGAAAAAATTTTGTAGGTGTACCCAATTTTAAATTTGAATATTCGTTTTTAAATCTATAAGCTACATATCCAGCAATAAAATTTAGGCCTTCTTTAAAAATGGTGTCGGGCATTTTGTTTTGTTTCTAACTGCCTTAAAAGATTGTCATGATCTTCAGAAAAAAAATTGTTTGTTCCATAATCTGGACTCTGGAAAGTATGGTCAGAAAACGTTTCTTCACTAAAAAGATTCGATGTTTCAACAAAATCGCCGTCAGAAAGAACTTTTTCAAACAACTGTTGGGTTAAACAGATTTCAGTCAAATTTCGTATTGTCTGCAATGTCATCTTTTTTTTGAAATGGCTCGAGTAGACACGTTTCGATACTATCCTCAGTATTTTTGTTCATTGAAAATATGGCGAGTTAATGTTTTCCAAGAATGTACCACCGCAACCTATATTTAATATCCATGGGTGTTGGATGATCATTAGTAGCTCCGATACCGCGAATATATGAAAAAAAATTTTCAAGAACATCTATACATATACATTTACTTAACTTTTAACAGAAACACATACAAATAAATGGCATAATGGGAATATTTCAAATCAGTTCGCTACAATTGCCTCGTTGCTGACGTAGGTGCGCGCTAGATGTGAATTTCAACCTGCTGGCAAGCACACCATCCTATACTCACACCACGGTACGAGTCAACAAGAGCTGAGGAAGATTATGCTGGATATCAGCACCTCAGTGGAAACAGTGTGTTAAGTCACATTGTTCAGAGAAACGAGTTTTCTCCACTTGTGGATTCACCATACTAAATTATGTCTAGTGGAAAACAGATTTTACTCCCTAGTTGCATCATTTTGCCAAAACACGACGGAACACTCTGTAAGTCAAAAACCAAGTATTGCAAAATTGGGGTTAATAAGTGACATCAAAGTAAAAATTTTAGGACAAAAAAATCGAAATAAATTGACCAAACAATTGACTTTTGCAAAAATCCCAATATTTAGTGGTGCTGATATAGAAATCAGAACAATAAATTTAAAAATATATTGGCTGTATCTAGAAAAGATTATGAACATAACCTCTTAAAAATTTTTTACTCATATGTAAAAAGAAAACTGAATATAAACTGCACTCAGATCACGCAGGAAACCCCAACGAACCAGTCGAGATACCAGAAAGATTTGCAAAACAGTTCAGTGCAACTTATACAACAGAACTTCACACAGAATCACCGCAAAAGAAAGAGTTGAGAATAGCATAGTAAATATAGAATTTACCTCAGACAAGTGAAATTTGCAATAGTCTTAAACAATAGTCCTGGAACAGATAAAATTTCACCAATTTTTCTTAAAAAATGTTCTAATAGCCTTCTTAATCTCCTCGGTACAGTTATGGACGACTCTATGCATAAACAGGAACTGAAAATAGACTTAAAACAGGCTATAGTAAGTCCTTTATATAAGAAAGGTGACAAAAAGAATCCCATAAACTGCCTTCCAGTCAGTCTTGCAAGCTGTATCGGTAAAGCAATGGAAAAGATTATTACAAAAGAAGTAACCAAGTTTATGGTGGAACAAAGAGTTTTACCCAGCAATCGGCACGGATTTACGCCCGAAAGATCTGTTGTTACAAATCGTCTAAGTACAGTTAACCAGTGGACAGCTTGGGATGACAACAACCAGCCAATTGATGAGGTATATCTTGATTATGAGAAAGCTTTGATAAAGTTCCTCGTAGAAGGCTGCTTAGCAAACTAGAACACTTTGAAATAAGAGGCAATTCATTATTGTGGATTAAGAGTTTCTTATTCAACCTGCAGTTCTGCGTAAGAATAAATGGACAGCTGTCAAACAACTATCCAGTACAAAGTGGATAAAAGGTTCGGTCTTGAGACCCCTATTATTTATTTTATACACCAGTGATTTATACAAAATCATCGAGTTCGCAGCCAACTTTTTTGCAGACGACGGAAAGATCTACTGCAAGCCACTGAAAAGCATTCACAAAATGAAACAAAACTTGAATAAAAGAGGAATCTGGTCCCAACAATGGCTACTACCCCTCAACATAAATAAGTGTGCAGTATTGCACATTGGCCCAAATAATCCCCTCACACAGTACACTGTAGATACAAACGCAGTAACTCCAGTCGAAACACAAAATGTTCTTGGTGTGATCATATTTAAAGACTTTGCTAATATAGTAAAGAATGTCAAGTCTCATTTATCTTGTCAAAAGAGGTTTAAAATACCATTCCGAAGATATGGTCGTCAAACTGTATAAAAGTTAAATAAGACCAAAGATAGAACTTGCACAGACCGTTTGGGATCCATACTTTATTAAAGACATTGAACTGCTGGAAAAAGTACAAAGGAGTCTCCAAAAATACCACCGACCCTACAAAACAATGAGTATTGTGATCGGCTAGCCCAACTACAACTTTTAAGTTTAAAGGATAGAAGAACTAGAAGAGACTTGATAGAAACTTACAAGTGGACCAGCGGTTATTACACTTGTGATAACATCTTTCAAGCCAGCACATCCAGAACCTTGAGAGGTCACTTGAAGAAATTAGATAAAGAAAAGCGTAATAAACTGCAAAGAAAAAATTTCATTACAAACACTGTATATCTGTGGTATGGTCCAGGAACATAGTCTCATCCCAGAACATAAACCAATTCAAGGCGAGAGTGGATAAAGAACTCGAAGACGAACAATTTATTTTTATTCCTTATAGTTGTATAGTATATTAAGTTTTAACTGTCATGCAGTAATTTAAAATATTTTTTGTCACTAACTGAAAGAGCAGCTCCATCGACTATGTCGCTTGCCTGTTCTTAATGATAATAATATGAATATAAAGTAATATTAATAATGTAAAATACCAAATTCCTCTTTAAATTTAATATATTTTGATGCCACATCAACTTTCAATTTATAGAATTCAAAACAAATTAGTACTAGAGCAGGTACAATTCAAAACGAAGGTAGTAACCAAAGGTGCATTAATATCAAGACATCACCTGCAATAATTTATTTAGCGATTTGGAGTGAAACAGGAGTACATTTTTAAAGAATTTTTAACACTTAATCCCGTTGAACGGTAAGTTTTGTATCACTGAGAGGAATAAGTAAAAGTTGAAGTAAAGAGCGTGAATAAAGCTTTAAGCATGTACAAAGTAGTTAGTTTGTGCATGCTTATGTCACTTTACTGAGCATAATATAACACTTTTCCATGCTGAAACACATTTTTGAATACTGATGCTACAAAAGTGTTTTTTAATACATTATTTTTATAAAATGATGAAAGTAATTCATAAATAACATATAACAGCTAACCTTCAATATTGTCATCTTTCTGAGAACTTCCGTTTGAACTAGAACTGTCCAGAAGAACCTGAGAAGAATGTGAAGGTGTAAATGTAATATAATCATTTTCCCCATCTTCATCATCGTGGTTTCTGGTGTATGGTATCATGTCACTAAAATATTTATGAAAAAATATGCCATTTATTTACTTGAAATCAAAATATATTTGTTATAAATCCACAAACCTTCTATGAGATACAGATAGATTTTCTTCTGTTGTAAAATCATAAGAGGTGTCATTATTAAATTCATCATTTCTAAAAAAAAAAAAAAAAAAATAAACAGGAATTACTTATGTCACTTATATTATATGTAAACACGTATTTTGGTTTTTCAGCTTACCTCTAATTGAAATTAGGAAGTACTACTACTGAATTTAAATCTATTTTTTTTTAATTAATCAAACTTTCATTAAACAGATTTTTACAATCGCATTTTCAAATGAATTATTTACCTTATCTGATATTCTAAATTTTGTGGAACAGATGCATTCTCATCTCTAATTGTACTGTTACAAGAAAATGTACTGCTAGGGCGATTTTCAAAATCTGGTTCATAGTCCAAATCATCTTCTGCAAATATAAGGTTTAATGAAATATTAAAATAAATATCATTTATTTTTATTTTTTTATTAGCCTACATTTCTAGGATGATACAGCCTTTTGGTAATAACTATTATGATCTTTTAAAGCTTAATACTAGACATTTGCGTAAATTTTGATATTTTTAACATTACCGAAACATAGAAGCTTAAAAAATATATCAAAAAGGGTAAAAGGAAATAAAAATTTTTTGTTGGGTTTCTAAACTCTCTAAAAATGTATAAATAATATTGTAAAAGATATTTGGACAATTAAAAAAATAAAATATGTTGTAAATTCACCCTTTCTCCATATCTACATATTAGTGCCTCGAACTTCTGACTCTGTCATCACAGAGGTGCCAGGACCATTCAATGTCGATCAATCTCAAGAAGACAGAAAAGGTCCTTTTTAAAATAAAAAGAGTGAAAATGGAATTAAAACCTCCAGAGCTCCTAAACAAAAAACTAAACTTTCAAACAGAAGTGAAGTACCTAGGTCTCACTTTGAGAGCAAGTTAACATGGAACTCACACCTAAAAAACAAAGTGAACAAAGCATACATTGCATTTGTGAACAATGCCGTCGAACCGTGGGACGCACTTGGAGTCTCTCCCCCAGAGTCGACGCATGGACTTACAAGGCCATCATAAGACCTATGCTAACATACGGTGCAGTTATTTGGGAACCGAAAACCCAAAAATTGACAACTATCCGCAAACTAGAACAAATTCAAAGAACAACATGCCTCAACATAAGAGGAGCCCTGAAAATTCCATCTCACTGAGATATGTCTTCCATAAGCCATATAAGGTTACAACAGAACAAATAGAAGAGCCGGAAGTGGCAGGTACGATTCATATCTACACCGACGGTTCTAAAACAAAACAAGGCTCATGATGTGGAATATACTTCAAATCCTTAAACCTATACATAAAATGGGATGTGAGCAATAGCGCCAGTGTAGTTCAAACCGAGCACAGGGATTCTTATAGCAGCAACATAAATCACCAGAAACAATATCACTGGAAGAAACATGCTCATCTATGCAGATAGCAGACAAGCACTACTCACTCTGAACAGACCACGAATTTACTCAGGGTTAGAATTAGAATGTCACAAAGCTTTGGCTGAAACATCAAAAATGTAGTCACCTTAAGATGGATCAAAGGTCACACCACATCAAAAGGTAACCATCTTGATGATTTACTAGCCAAGAATACAGCCAACCAAATACTTTTTGGACCTGGTCCCTCTATTGAACTGACAACATTGGCAGTGACAGATCTAATCAAAGAACATTCCCGTGAAATTCAAGGAAATATAGGATGAAGTAAGAAACTGCAGAGTTGTTAGGCAGCTTTTAAGTTATCCTTGAATATGACTAGACAGAATCTGAACCCGATCACAGGCATTCTGACTGGTCATTGGCATGTACAAAGGATCTTCATATCATGGGGGAATCGGAATCCGCATTCTACAGGGGGTTCGAACAAAAAGATGAGTCCATTGAGCATATCCTCTACAATTGCCAGACGCTCTCATTTATTAAAAGATTTGTGTTCGGCAAGTAACACAGGCTGATATAGGAGAAGCACCTCTTGGCGACATTATCAAGAACATTAAATATGTAGGCTGGCTCACAAGAAAGGAGATGTCTATCAACTTAGGATTTCAATTTATTCGAATTATTACCAGTTAATTTGTAGTTAAATTTTATTTTCAAATATTTGTTTTTGTTCATTAATAGATCTTAAACAATTTGATATGGGACCTCCCCCGAGGTACCCCCTCTCTAACAAAAAAATAGTACTAGAAATTGGACAACGTTGTAAAGAATTATCCCTGAACATACATTAAATAAAATATTCAGACCTATTGAGAACCAGCAACATTAAGTACAGAAGATAAAATTATTGAATTAATTGTGGGTGAGAAGTATAAATCATTTCAAGAAGTTTCATTGCTAAAATGTTGCAAAACAGTGATTAAGCAATTAAGGAGGTCCTTTCGCCACCAATGTTAAATAAAAAATATTAGATTATGACTAAAATTAATTTTTTTCTAATAGTTGAAGTCCTTATTTATCTAATAGTGAACTTTTAACTATACCTTACCGTGCAAATTTTTGAGAAAAAAGAATTTTAAAAATGTCAGTATTTGTACAGTGTCTTACGAGAAAGTAAGACTTCAACAACAATTTTCGAATTATAATTAAGTATACTATTATTTATTGATTAGATGGAGTAGAAAAAAACTAAAAATAAGGTTTTTGAAATATTTAAGTTTTGTTTTTTACAATAAAATATATAGGTTACCGTGGAATTTATTGAGAAATTAATATTAAAAAATCACACAAAAAATTTCAACTAGGTTACTTGAAATTTTTTTTTAATATTAATTTCTCAATAAATTCCACGGTAACCTATATATTTTATTGTAAAAAACAAAACCTAAATATTTCAAAAACCTTATTTTTGGTTTTTTTCTACTCCATCTAATCAATAAATAATAGTATAATTCGAGAATTGTTGTTGAGGTCTTACTTTCTCGTAAGACACTGTACAAATACTCACATTTAAAAAAAAATTCTCAAAAATTTGCACGGTAAGGTATGGTTAAAAGTTCACTATTTGATAAATAAGGACTTCAACTATTAGAAAAAAAATAAATTTTAGTCATAATCTAATATTTTTTATTTAACATTGGTGGCGAAAGGGGTGGCGAAAGGACCTCCTTAAAATGGTATCAAGTACAATATTGTTGAATGTTTAATAAATGTTTTGTCAGTGCACCCTAGAGTGTAATTAATTAATAAAAAGTACTTTATTGCACCAAATTCATATTTATTGTCAACCCTCATATATGACTGATCAATTTCGAGGTTTATTTCATTTCAGGTTTTGAACCAATCAGAACATTTTAAGAATAATATGTTTTTGTTAAAACTAAAAATAATCAGTTAAATCCATATTATTTCAAATTCACTTCATAGAGTGAAATACTACAGAATAAATGGTCAAACTAGTGATGCACACCCTAATCTACAGTAGGGGACTACTCAGGTGTCCTATAAGTATAGCAGTTACTGTGTTTGTTGATAATTGTTTTAATACATGAAAATATATATCTTTGATACCTATAGTCAGTTCAATCAAAACTGAGATCAAAGAGTTGGTAATGGAAGCTTAAAATAATCCTTTTGTATAAGAGGTTTTTCATTTAAATGAGGGGGCACGTTTTAAATGTAAAATACCCTTCGGTCAGAATTTGACAAAATTTTGATATGTTCTAGAACTTGACATATCGATTAAATATCTCTGTTATGCCAAAGCTCTAAGTTTAACAGTTTCTGATTTGTCTGAAATCACTATTTTATAATTTCAAAATACCATAAAATGCATGTTTTTGTCAATATTACCACAAAAACAAGTGAAACCTTTTTCGTTGAATTAACTACAACTCGTATCTGTGCTTTCATAATTTTTGTACATACAACTGATATATAGGGTGAGGCCATATATTTGTGGAAAAAAATGTACTGTGGAATAAGAAATGTTTATGTTATTAAGTAGAAATGTTAATGAAAGTATTTTATAATATTAAAAATATCTGTTTTTAATAAGATAACTAACAATATAGGGAAAGTAAAAGTTGGAAAGGCTTTTGGTAGGTAGAGAACGGGTAAACGTCAAACCACGTCGGATGGCTTCGAGAATTTCGTAGTAATGTTTACCTGCCAGTGTCATTTCATAGAATAAGTAATTTTAAATTGTTATCGGCGAAACCGGACAATCGCATGTATTTATGGACTATAAATAATTATTAAACATGTATTATAATATTCAAATCATAATTTTACAAAATTTTAACAGCTATTCACAATTTATTAAACTATTTACTCGAATTCGTTATTAACATCTATAAAATAATTTTGTAAGCCAATGTATCGCGTCCACTTCGGTGAGATCCGCAGCAAACCTGTCAATGTATGTGTATAAAGTGGGAGAACTGGCAAAAGCTTTTCCAACTTTTACTTCTGTTCTACAACACCAGATCTCTTGACTATATATATCCAAAACATAAACTAACATCCTCAGAGAAAAAATGTTTTTAACATCCTCAAACTGTATAACAAGCTACCAGATATATAAAACAAATACAAAATTTAAAACAAAAAAAAAGATACAGGATACTCTGGTAGGGTCCGATTACAATTAGATGAATACAGGTACGTCATCAATTGGTGGAGTAATTCGTTGGCTATCGCCGCCTATTGGGAGTTTAGTGGCTCATTAATATTATAGGATGTATGTATACTATTTTTAAACCAAACACTCACATGTTTTTTATTTACTGATAGTTATAGACGATATATATTGGAATTTCGAAATAATAGTTATGACGTAGCAATGTTCTTCTAATTGAGGAGCTTTGGGGCAAAACCGAATAAATCCACTATAAACGATTTTTGGGAAAACACGATTTTCCAAATAGACAAAAAGTACTGGTTTTTCGTTTGTTTGGTGAAAACAATAATATTGGAGGCATCATAAATAATACACCCTCTGCAATTATAATTTTGAAAAATAATTTTTGTTAAAAATATGACAAAAAAATGATTTATTCAGTTTTACCCAAATCAAAATTCAAAACTACCCGCACTAATATAAGAGGAAAAACAAATGAAAATAAAGAAATATCTCTTACAAACTGCTTTTAAACTACAGCGAATGCTGATGTGTTGTTTACACCACTTTACTAGTGGATTTATTCGGTTTTGCACAAACACATCAATTTCGACAATTAATTTTACAAATATTTATTCGGTTTTGCTCGGACAGGTAGTCTATAAAGATGTAATTTAACAAAGTAAGTTGAAATCTGTCGCTAACTTAATTTTCATAAAAAGTGGATTTATTTGGTTTTGCTCCAATGCTCCTCAATTGTAATTGGACCCTACAACTGGAGCCATATAGCAGTAGTAAATATATGCTAGCAAATTTGGATCAAATCTAAAATGTTGTTTTCTGATGCTATTTCTCTTTGAGTTTATACTACAAAACGTGTATGTAAAAGGAATTTAGAAAAAAAGATGAGTATTAGTATTAAAATATTAAAGAACAAAACAATATTTATATAATTTTTGATTTTTTGGACAAGAATAGTCACAGAAATTGATAACTTCATTGCTACTTGAATAATCGAATGAAAAATATCTATCACCTCTACCTTATGTTCTTTTCCTAAAAACCATATATGATATATCTCAGAAATGCTACTCGTTACCAGTTGTGGATTGCAAATGATGAGGAAGAAAATTCTAACCTAATACTCCATCATGGGAACACTGGTGGCACTTGCCATTAACAAGTCTTTTTTGTCAAAAGAATCTACCCTTAAAATCTCTATTGGAAAATATTCGGCATATTTAATATTTTTAACATGTATTTTATATTTTGAAATTATCAAATAGTGTAAATCAAAAACTGACAAATTTTAGAGCTTCAGTGCAATGGATATTTGATTGATAGGTCAAGTTCTATTACATAAAATTCTGATTGAAGGGTATTTTACATTTAAAATGTGTCCCCTACTTTCACAAACTCTTTCTACAACTCAATTATCTGTTTCTGACTACTTTATAGCATGTTTTTGTTGCTTTTATTAGCAACTGGGGAATACACAATTATTTTTGCTAGTTTGGTAACCTAGATATTTTCTTGTTAGCTTTCCATCGTCTATGGTTCTATTACATATAATGTGGGGATAATGGGCATTTCCAAGTTTATCAAGTTTTGTTTTACAGTATCCTAACATGGTTCTGGAGTTAATTCTGTTTGCTTTTTCCCCCAGGTCCAGATTAGATATTACAATTTGTGATCACTTAATATAATGCTAAAAAAGCAATCATATTTAAAAAATAAAAGAATTTGATATTATTTGCAAGTATAGGTATATATGATTATTGTATTATAGGTCACATTAAATTTCTCTCAGTAGTAGGTACCTATAGTTCAAATACTTTGACCATTTCTTTTACCTAAACTTTTTACAGAATTAAAAAAGGATACAGAGGAATAGCAATTTTTAAAAGGGTCAGTTTTAGACATTCTAGAGAAATAAATTAAATCTATAAGGAAATGTTTTTATAAGTGCAGGTTTTTTCAATAAATCACCTTGATGATTCTCTAAAGATATGATATAATTAGATCTTGTGGGAGTCTCTAAAGTTTCTGTATTAATATAGATGTTAGCAGAAGCATTTTTTGTTGTGACACCTGCAATAAAAAAATTGACTGACTGGTTTATTTTTTAAATGCAATTAATACCAAATATACTTTTTAAATTTTTGGAAAGGGATCGGGATATGTTCTTAAGTCTACGATTACGGGATCTCCTATGTTTAATAACTTCAGTATTTTTTAAATTTATACATCTATTACGTAGCTGTAGTTGGCCTTTACTACCTAATGCATCTTCAAAATTATCAGGAATACTGGTATTCTTAGTTACTATTTTAATTGTCTTAGCTGTAGGTATCACTGTTCTTCCACTATTATTTATTGAACGTTTTCCAGCCATTTTTGAGGGTTATAACAATCGAACTGTTCACTTTCACGCCATGCCCGCCATGCCAATAAACAAAACAACTACTTGAAAGTCTTGAAACTTTTAGATTTTGAAAAATGTTTGATAATTTACCATCAACTACTAGCAGTTTTGCACTAAAAGTAGTGTTATGTTTTATCGCAATACAATTTATTATTTTTAAAGAGAAATGAAAAAGTTTATTATAAATAAACTGTTAAATTAATGTCTGAATACTTATAAGAATGTAGGCCTTTTCCATAATGGAAAAGAAGAAGTAGGATTAGCCGTTTTTAAGTACGCTATCAGTTAGGAGTTCTATAGATGGAAAAGTAAAGGCTGTATGTCACGATACTAAATTAAGTACTAAATTTAGCACTAAATTAAGTTATTAATTTAGTACTAAATTTAGAACTAAAAATTTTTTTTTCCGTTTGCAACGATACCAATTTTTAGTACTAAATTTACTATAGGCGCACGCGCATTGACGTATTAATACGTAAAATTAACAGAGAAATGAAATATTATGTGTAAAACAGACAAGTAAATGGTGTTTTTATTATCAATTTGACACTAGTTGACTTGACAACAACCAAATACAGCATAAAAACCACGAAAAAAACACAATAAAACCTACAAAATCAAACAAGCGAACTTTATTCAAGGCGATAATGTAAAATTGTCGCTAATTAAAAATAAAAGGGTACAGAAAATACCGTCGTGTCAACTTTTTCTATGAAAAACTTCTGCGCAACATTTCGGCGCACTTTTAGTACTTAATTAATGACTTTTTTTAGCACTAAATTTAGTACTAAATTTGCTGTTTGCAACGTGAATTTTTTTAGTACTTAAAAAATGCATTAATTTAGTTCTAAATTTAGTACTTAATTTAGTATCGTGACATACAGCCTTCAAGAAGGCCCGTATTTATAAACAAAACTCAGCTGAGTCGGACTTGGGTAAGTCGTCCTTGAACGAAAATCGAAGTTCGGTTATATCGCGTGAATTTAGAGATGGGTAGTAACAAATCCGTAAATGTACATAACAGTTACAGATTTGCTAATATCCATCTCTAAATTATAGTTTAACACCAGAATCACCTAGAACTTCAGAGACGTTGTAACCGAACTTTGATTTTAGTTCAAGGACGACTTACCCAAGTCCGACTCACGCAGTAAGTTCTGTTTATAAATACGGGCCTAAAGGCTGTATGTCACGATACTAAATTAAGTACTAAATTTAGAACTAAATTATTGCATTTTTTAAGTACTAAAAAAATTCACGTTGCAAACAGCAAATTTAGTACTAAATTTAGTGCTAAAAAATGTCATTAATTAAGTACTAACAGTGCGCCGAAATGTTGCGCAGAAGTTTTTCATAGAAAAAGTTGACACGACGGTATTTTCTGTACCCTTTTATTTTTAATTAGCGACAATTTTACATTATCGCCTTGAATAAAGTTCGCTTGTTTGATTTTGTAGGTTTTATTGTGTTTTTTTCGTGGTTTTTATGCTGTATTTGGTTGTTGTCAAGTCAACTAGTGTCAAATTGATAATAAAAACACCATTTACTTGTCTGTTTTACACATAATATTTCATTTCTCTGTTAATTTTATGTATTAATCAAAGAAGTAGAGAGGGTAGAACGATAAGGTACCGTCTGCGCATCCATCACGAGTGTAGAAATCATGCGTGATTCAGCCTTCCACTCTTACACACGTAAATGACAAGGAGAGGTTGCCCTAAAGCACTGTAAACAAATTCCAGGATCGACTTTATTCAGCGATTATGTTCATGTTCAGCTCTGTTTTTTGTTTGTGTTTTGGCTGTTGTAAGCTTTTTTGGCGTCAATTTTTTGTTATCTTGCTTATATTGATGATTTTTTATGCTTTTATTCCGATTTAGTATTAAATTATACTTGTTAATTATTTTTCGATGCACTATTTTATAATTGTTGCACAAAATGTTGTTAAACCGTCCCTGAATTTTGTTTACAAAATGTGCAAAACGAAATTGTGCATAGTGTCCAGACTTTTTCATTGACAGTTATCATTCTACCCCTCTCCACTTCATTGGTATTAATACGTCAATGCGCGTGCGCCTATTCGCTCCGTGCGAAGTCATGGAAAGGGAAGCAAAAGCGATACTAGCGCTAGCTGCGGATAATTCGTGCATTTTAGGGGGATATTTTGTAATTTTGGCATATCAAATACACGTATACATTTTACTTTTTTTCAAAAAAGTAGGTAAAAACAACACAATAAGCAACCGGAGTTGCTGTGTTGAAAATTGTACAAATACTAGCAAAAAAAAAAACAGTGAAACTTATATAACAAATTTCACTAACAAAGTGGAAATTAAATCAAAGAAATAAATGGATAGGTGTACAATAAGAAGAAAAATTACCTTCATTTTTGTAATAATAACAGTAATGCTGGAAATAGTAGACATCAGAAACTAGAAAGTTTTTAAATAAACAATAAATTATCATTTTACGATGTTCTTTAATATCCCTTTATTCTTAAATGTTCATTCAGCAAGGACTAGATTTCAAGATTTCTGCCGTTGATTATAATATTTGGCTGGTATGCAACTTTGTGACTTACTGATCGGAAACCAGGTTTAATCATTCATTCTATGTTTTCTTTAGAACAAAAATGAAAATATAAGTAGCGATCCTTTTTATACATTTTAACTTCACGCTATTATAAATGGTTTCTTCAATGACAACTTATTAGACTTAGGCAACTTCTCATACATTTTCCAGTAAATACTGTTGCCTGCCTATATTTTATTATTGATTTTTAATGATTATACATAATTTTCTTCAATTTAAGCGTGAAAAATATATAATAATAATAAATTAATGTTTTAATTGTTTTATAAATCCATATACTTTTATTAAAACTAACATATATACTTTTTATTTACGAATTCTATTAAAAATTGTATTTGTCAGTATAGGCAGAAATACTCCTTATTTAATACCAAAACAAATTGGCGCTGCTGTCGCGCACGGAGCGAATAGTAAATTTAGTACTAAAAATTGGTATCGTTGCAAACGGAAAAAAAAATTTTTAGTTCTAAATTTAGTACTAAATTAATAACTTAATTTAGTGCTAAATTTAGTACTTAATTTAGTATCGTGACATACAGCCTTAAGTAAGGAGAACAATAACGATAAATAGTATCTAACATAAATACGACTGCAATGTTGTTTTTCTTGTAACCTGAAAAATATTTTGGACATCCTAAACATTTTTGCTTTGGAGAATTGACTTTGTTTCAGGAATTTAATATATTATAAAAAAATAATGATTCCTATACTTTCCTTCTGCATATAAAAATAAAAAGGTTAAAATATACTACAGTAAAAATATATTGATGTGTCATGCAAGGGCGTCGTTGGGGGGGGGGGGGGGGGGGGCAAAGGGGGCAGTTGCCCCCCCTGGCTTTTAGCGACTAAGAGTGAGATTATAGAACGTCTGCAACTTTGCAGATCTGCAAATATGGCGGACAAATGGAAGTATTCCAAAAAATATCTGCAAATTCGCAATATTTATTGTGGTTTATTACCCCCAACAACACTAAACCCAAATTTGGAATACGAAAACTTGATACTTGCATGTGTAAGTCAGTCATATTTGCAGATTTTCAAAGTGGCCGCCATATTTGCAGATCTGCAAAGTTGCAGACGTTCTGTAATCTAACCCATAATCAACAACGCATAAGATTATGCATACGAACAACAATCTCATATAGAAATAATAATATTAAGGCTAATATAGTTGAAGAATATTATAGAGGTTGAATATATTTATTGAATATCGTCGGTCTAAGATGCAAATGGCCTAACTCCTAAAATATAAATTTTTCAGGAAACGCAAAAAAACTTTTAGACCTAACCTTAATGTAAAGGGGTTATACAAAATGAGTCATGTAATTTTTGGCGCGAATATTTAAAATAGGCTTGGCAGGCCATTTCTAATCGATAGTACAGATCTTTAACTAACGGGTAGCCAATAAAACGTACCTTTGGTAAAAAGTGGAGTTAGGCCATTTGCATCTTAGGCCGACGATATCTAGATTCCCTTATTACGTCGCTTACATCACGCTTTTCCGAAGACTGTTAATTTTCCTTAAGCCTGTTACATCCCAAAAGCATAAAAACAATATTTTTTTCACTACCGATTAGAAAATTAAAGTAGTGGAAAAATTTGGAATCGACAATTTTGAAGCTGAATATCAAACTGGAGTACGAAAGAGCTTTCTACATACAACGAGCTTTTCATTAATGACATAGCATCCAAACATTATGAATTTTATCCAGATATAAAAAGTGGTTTAAAAATATTTATGGCTCTTCCACCAACGACAGAGTTAATCAAAAGAACGTTCAGCACGCTAAGGCATGTTAAAACATGGCTGCGATCTATTCGATCAGTGCGAAGTCATGGTAGGGAAAGCAAAAGCGATACTAGCGCAAGCTGCGGATAATTCGAGTACTTTAGGGCGATATTTTGTAATTTTTGCGTATCAAATACACGTAGACATTTTACTTTTTAATAAAAAATAGGTTAAAAACAATAAAATGAGCAAATGGAGTTGCTATGTTGCAAATTATACTAGCAAAAAACTGTAAATTATATATATTTTCAGTAGCAAAATCGAAATTAAATCAAAAAAATAAATAGACAACTATATAATAAGAAGAAAAAAAACCTTTATTTTTGTAATAATAACAGTATTACTGGAAATAATAGATATCAGAAAATGTTTTAAATAAACAATAAATTATTATTTTATGATATTCTTCAACATCTCTTAAGTCTTAAATGTTTAGCAAATGATTAGATTTCTGCCTTTAATTATTGTATATGACTGAAATGCAATCTTATGACTTATTGATAGGAAACCAGTTTTAATCTCTAATTTCTATGGGTTCTTTCGAACTAAAAATATACCAATTATTTTTGTTAATACGTTTTAATTCTACGTTATTATATAATAGTAGTGTTTTTATTTTGACATTATTTAACCAATTCTTCAATGACAACTTACTAGGCTTAGGCAAGATCTCATACATTTTCTCGTAAATACCTACTCTTGTTTTATTATTTATTTTTATTGATTATACTACTTTTTTTAGCTAAACTAATAAAAATATATAATAATAATAATAATAATAATAATAATAATAATAATAATAATAATAATAAT